TCTGCTTACCTCGTAAAATGGTGTGATGTCAAGGTAAAAGTTATATGTGAAAATGTTCTGAAAGAATGAACTCCATACAAAACTCAGTTCTTTCTTTCTTTCTTTCTTTCTTTCTTTCTTTCTTTCTTTCTTTCTTTCTTTCAAAAGCCGCATGACAAATGAAAAAAGTCACAAACCTGTGTTCAGATCACAAATACGCACTTAGTATCTGTGAGGTGTGGCAGGGTCAACTTTTAGCCCCTTATTTTAGAAAATTGTGGAAATGACTTCAGTTGCACAGAATTACTTGATGGTGTTAAAAGAGCTAATGCAGAAATAGTGCCAGACACACAGTAACAGACAATAGTTACTTGTTTTATTTTCCTCCTTTCCATAATGTCTACATTCAGGCAGGAGAGATGGGACTGGTTATTGACTAGAGGTGAAACAGTGGGATGATTAAATGATAGACGTTATTGAATCTTTCAACCCTGAGATCATCTGACGTGTATTCCCACAGTCTGTCTGGGTACTTTGATAGCCTTTTGTGGACCTCACTTGGAGCCTCAGGAATTCATTACAAAACCTAATTATGTAAGTAGTAGCCTCAGACTGTCAGCTGACAAAGCTAGTGATTGAAATACTCCTGGGTGGTTGATAAAGTTCTGTCTGGAGTTTTGTTTACTTTTGTTTGTGAATGCTGTGATTGTTGTTCCAGCTTGAAGAGTTCAAGGTGTAGAGTTTTTTTTGTTTGTTTTTTTTTTTATTTTTTCTTATTCCAAAATCACCTTATAAAATTGCTCTGCTCTCTATCACTTGTGGGGGTAAATGTGTGTTTAAATTAAGCAAATATTTCTTCTGATGGGGCCATCCACAAAACACATTCCAGCATGCTGCCCACATTGATTCCATTGTAGTTAGCTAGTGTTAATAATAGGAAAGGAGAAAAGGGAAAAGCCAGACATTATTAGCATGTTGTTTGGGCAGCTTCACCAGGAAGCAGCGACTTTGCACTCCCCAGGGAACCACCAGCTTATGCCCTGCAAAATGCTGGGGAAAGGGGTTTGGAAAAAGAAAAGATAGATACATGCTTAGTAAACTTGGGTGACATAGAGATGGACTTGCCTGTCCATCAAACCTGGGAACAGAGATGGTTAGCAAGAATAGGCATAGCCAGCCAATGGAAGCCTGTGAAAATTTGGGAATATATAATCTCCTTAACAAAGGAGTGCTCTTTCTTGTTGCTCATGTTCTCATTGCTCTTGCTGTGCTTGCCTCTTGCCTCTTGACTTTTGCTCCTGCTTCCTTGCATTTGTCCATGTTCCCTCCATAGCCATGTGGTACTATGGACCCCACATGAGATGGACTAATGGACTGCAGCTGGAAACACAAGCTAAGCTAGCCTGATGCTGAACTGGACCTGGCTCCAACATAGAATGGAAACTCTGGACACTGGCTCTGATTTTAGCTCTACTGAAACCCCAGCTGCACTTCTTCCATGACTGGACTAAGGGAAGTGGGACCTTGGAAACTCAAGATTTTAATTCCATGCAAAAAAAAAAATTACTCATTCTCCCATGCAAGTCTCAGAAAAATTTTTTTCTTAGGATATTGCAAAAATTTCACCCCCAGCAGCAACTGGAAGAGATGAGGCCCTGTCCCACTCTTTAACAACATGTTTTCTTTCTGCCAGTTTTTCTTTCACTAGTGAGCTGTGCCACTTGCCAGTCAACCATATGGCTTTGGGGTAGAGGAATTCGACATAGAGTAGGAAGAAATACTTCAAAATTGAATTGCATAAAAATATGAGAATCATTTAACGGAATACGAAAATTTGGAATATTTCTTGTTATATCTATTCCACTAGCTTTGACTCCTAGGGTGTGCAGGTCAATAAGAAGCAAGCCTCATCCAAGTTCCCAAACCCCTGGTGGTGCTTCAGAAACCCCCACACACGGTGACGTCCCCGAGGTGATGAGGAGACAAAATAAGTCATCCTTATTTAATTTCTAGCTGTTAGGACATTGCTTAGAAATGAGGGGCTCATTTTCTCTTTGTTCAATAAACACATTAATGAACACATTAAGTACCCTTTTCAGATCTGGAAAGCAGACAACAGGGAATGAAAGAACATATTCTAGGTTGGATGGTTGGAGCTATCTCTTTGCAATCTGGCCATTGTATGCTTTTCTGTTTCCTTTTTCTTTTATGAGGGAGGAGGGAAGTTGTTTCTCAATGCAAAAAAAAATTTCAACACTTTGTATATGGCACATTTTACTTGGCGAGATTTCTGTGCTGATATAATTGCTGCTGCTGTTGCTGCTGCTGCTGCTGCTGCTGCTGCTGCTGCTGCTGCTTCTCCTTTTCCTTCTCCTTTTGGTGTGACCAGCTTTTCAGAAATTTATGTTTTTAAGAAATTAGCCTTTTCTAAAGTAAATGTCTCTAATGAGTGGCTTGGGCTACATAAAACCAACATTTTCAAACATTTGTTTGAGAGGGAAGAGTTACATTCCAGCTACCCCTGCATTTCAGAAAGGTGTGGGCTGACCGGGAGAAGGAGGTCTGAACTATTAGAGACCTATTGCGTTTCAAAACCAAATAGGGGTGCCCTGGGCAGTTTGGTTCAGCAGTTAGAGCATTGGCCCATGGAGCAGAGAGTCCTGGGTTTGGTTCCTGCTGAGGACATGTACCTCGGTTGCAGTTTGTCGCTGGCCTCGGTTGGGGTCGTGTGGGTGGCAACCAGTGGATGTGTCTTTTTCACATCGATGTTTCTCTCTCTCTCTTCCTCCCTCCCTCACTCCCTCCCACTCTATCTGAAGATAAATGCAAGAATGTCCTTGGGTGAGGATAAAAAATAATAATAATTAAAAAATAAAATAGAATTTTTTTAAAAAGGCTTAATTTGAGCCAATCTGGAAGAAAGATGATTCTATTTAAGTTTAGAGTAAAAAGATGCCACTTTATTTAAAGAACAACCAGTTTTATAAGCAATATCCAAAGAGTTAAATTTAGAAAAAGTTCCTTCTAGTTAAAAGAATTGAAAAAAAAATTTAATTGCACTATAATTAGAATTACATGGCTGCTGAACCTTGGGGAAAGATAGCATTCTAGAGTTGTGTTCCCAGTTCTTCTACACAAAGATATACCTGGATTATAAAATAGATGTTAGAAAATTCTGGGTCTTAGGCAGCAACATATCTATCAGAACAGGTCATTCCAAAAAGTCTAGGGAAGGTCATCACTGCATAAAACATAAAGTGCTTATTTGGTAATACACAGAAACATCATTTTTGTAGTAATCAAAAAGCATTTTTATAAAAATGAAAACTTCACCATAGTTCCAATTTAAAACAAAATGAAAATATAATAAGCAAAGAATTCTTTAAATACAACATTTTAAATAGTTTAAGCAAACAGAATGGTTTTTACCTTGATCTGTCCACTTTAAATAATCGTTCAATTTTTCCTTTTACAAAAAAAAATCTTTTGAGTATTGGGCTGAGTAGTGCAAACTCTATGACAGTTTGTTATCTTGAATCATTCCTTAAATCACTTTTTAAAAAGCTGTTTCTGTTAAGAGGAAGCACGTTTTGTACAATGAGAATTTTAATATAAAGTTTATGAAATTCAGAAAAACATGGTCTCGTGCTCAGATCTTATGAGAATTATGTCAAGAAATTCATTATTGGTTTTAATTTTTTTCCATTTTTGATGACTTTTCCCAAAGCAGTAACTGCTTTGATAGTTATTCTAGTAAGTCGCACTGAAGATTTGCATCCTGGGATTTCTGTCCATTGAATGATTTAGGTTGGAATACGGGGTGCAAACATGACTGTAGTTTACTTACAATTGTGTGGTCATCTAGGTTGCTACTAAATTCTTCAGAAGTGGTCAACAAAGAAATTCCTTTGCTTAAAGATCTATAGACTTTCAGAAACCTGTATTGACGATACATTGAAACAGATAATACAAAATATTTTAAATATCATTAGATTTCAGTGGAATTTCAGCTAAGCAAGTATTTCAGTGCAAGAAACACAATTTAAAAATACATATTGCCTTATTCTTACAATAATGGCATTGCTTTCTATAGACGTGTGCATCATGGGGATAAAGAGAATTTCCTTTGGGCTAAAGATGGTCGAATAGCAAATATCAACCATTGCAAAGCCCCTAACCTTTGTTGACATCCAAGTCTTCTGAATCCTTCCATCCGAAAGCAAAGAAACAGCAAATGTCTTTCAAAGAGGATCTCACTCAGGATGAAGAATATTAAAATAATTAAAGTTTAGAATTGAAATGTCCACCTTTTGCGAATCTTCTGCAATGCATAAGACTGGATGCAAACCATCAGCTCTTCCTAACCACCTCCACCTCACCCTCCTTTCCTCTTCCTTTATCGCGTATACTGTGTACCCACTATGTGTCCATCACTGTCATACGTGCCAAGGAATCATTTTGACATAAGTTTCGACAGAAATAAGTTGCTACCTACTGATGAAAATACAGCCACAGGGTTAGGTGGGAATGAGGGGTAACAGGCCAAAGCTGGTGCTTAACTCTCCTTCGAAATATATTCATAGGCTGAGTCTGCACCCAGGCATTTCAACTCACGTTCCACCCTAGCCACCCACAAGTTTCTCAGCCCGGCCTAACCCGGAGAGTGAGCCATCTTTCCAGTTCCCCGAACATGGGCTGCTATTTATTACACCTGGGCAGGTAGCTTCCTTTGGAGGAATTCTCACATGAGGCATCACACGCAAGCCGACCGCAGAGGCTGGAGGTTATCTCGGCAATTGCTCGCGCCTCCCAGTACCAGCTGGCACTCACACATGCAGCCTCCCGCAGAAGTGGAGGGATGGGAGACCTCAGGGAGGCCACCTCTGGGGCAGGGGCTTCTGAGTAGACGGCACTGGGGACAGAACCCAGTCTGATAGGCTGACTGGGTCTGCAGGGGCATGGACTTTCGAAAGCTTCAGGTTGGAAACCTTTTGCCCTTTCATTTATTTTTACAGAAGCAAGAAAGGCAGCTGTGTTGAAGACAATGACTCATATGTTTTTGCTGTACTTCTTAGTGTTTCTTATGCCCACAGAGTCCTGCAGGACACTATGCCAGGTAAGAAAAGGGAAGTGGAGGGATAGAGTGCTGGGAGAGCAAATGGAAATGGAAACAAAAAGCCAGCTCTAGGTTATCTGAGCTGAAGGGTAAGGGGAAGATGATGGTAGAATGGTTCAGCCAGAAGAAATTGTGATTGCACTACATGTGTACAAACCCATTTAGCCAAGAGCTGCAGATGGTCTCCCATCAACTTTTCCTACATGTTCCCGAGATGCAATGAGGCTCAAATAATTTCAAGTGCCCTCAGGGGCACTTGAAAATGTGGGTGTGGTGAGGGTGTCAGAATGACTGGGAGATATTTTATGGCATTTAGTGTGGGCAAGACCTAGGAATAGTCCAGCACAATGAAGCACTGTCCCACCCCAAATGAAGTCTCCTTTGAGAAACCTGATAGTGACCACCATGGATAGGCTGGAAGGAGCAAAGAGCACCTCAGATAGTCAATGGTCCATCAAGGTCTAACTGGGAGGGAGTTTGTAACAATGCACTATTTGCACATTTTGTGGGTCAGTGAGCCTTATGGCTCTCCCTGAAATATTTTTCCCCATCCTACAAGTCACTAATTTTCCTATCAGTTACTTATTTAAAATAAGGTGAGGAGAATCATTGAGTAAGAGGGAGAGAGAGCACACAACAAAATATTTTAAGCCTCTTCTTGAGAAGAGAGTATTATTATTTGATCATAACAACTGGAAAAGAGCTTTGAGATCACATGGTGAAGTTCCACTACCTTATTTGATCAGTAAGGAAACTGAGGTCCATGGTGTGGAATGTGACTTGCTGGAGGCTACATACCTACTTAGCCAAAGAGCCAAGCTCAGTACCCCTGTCTTCGGATTCTTGGTTTTCTTTCTTTCTTTCTTTTTTATTTAATTAATTTATTTATTTTTGTTACAGATGTTTCTCCTTTTTCCCCCACTGATTCTCCCCTCCCCTTTCCTCCCCGCCCTGTCCCCAGCTTTGTTGTCCATGTCCATTGTTCATGCATACATGCATATAAGTTCTGTGGTTTATCTCTTCCCCACCACCCCCTCTTCTGGGGATTGTCAGTCTGTACCCCACTTCCACGTCTCTGGGACTACCCCATTTCTCAAACTGTTATGTTCAGTTTTGATCTTTCCATTTTAATATGTGCTTTTCTAAGAAGAGCCTCTTTAGGGGAGAATGACTTTGGGAATTCTTTCTAAGAGTTTCCATATGATATTTACTTTACTCTTTAAGTAGTTTGTCCTTGGGTGGGAGTTTTCTGCATGACTCCCCTTCCCATAGCACTGAGCTGGTGCTTAGTTTCTGGGAGAGATTAGAGACTCCTTCAGAAAGACTTTTTCCAGGAGTCAGCCCGACCCCATAGTGAGGTACTATTTCCTCCTTCATTTCCTCATCCACATTTTTCTACAAGACAGAACTTGAAGAGTAGTCAGAGCATTGGAGGTTAGCTTTGTTTTCTTGATTATTGGGGACCACCTTACTAGGAATACCCTATCCTTTTATTCTTACTAAGCAAGTAGCTGGATGCTGAGCCTCTGGATGTTGCTCCTCTCCTGACCTTCCTACTCACTTGGGCAGCTCCACAGGTTTAGCAGGTGGCAGGTTTGAAAGTGTGTGTGTTTACAGTATTAGGCTGAGGATTGTTGGTATCTGAAGCTTCTATAGTTCCTATCAGATATCACCTTGGAAATGAAATAACCAGGATCTGAACATGAGTGTGCTTTGGAAAATTACCTGGGAAGAAGTGAAATCAGGTCCTTCACTTAAGGCAGAGTTTCCAGAATTCCTCACAAACAGAATACCACAGCTTTGTGCCCACACATGTAATTAATATAATGTGACTTCACTGTAGTTTGTTTAATGGGCCAAGTATTATCCAGAGTTGTCCAATTTTATATGCTTTTTGTGGTGTGTTGGAGACCATGACCCTCTCAAGATGGGCTTAGGGCACCTTGAGATGCTTGTCCTTCTATCCGCCTTCCTCTGATTTCTCTACTTGGATGTGGGCTGACTTGGTGGAAAGAGCAATGTTGTAGGAATAGGACAGCTGAGTTCTAGCCCTGGCTCTAAGAGGAACAGCATGCATGGCCTTGTTCAAGTCATCTCATCCATCAAAGACTCACTTTCCTTATCTGTAAAATAAGAGGGTTGGACAGATTGACCTATAAGGTCTTTCAGAACCTCAAAAATATTATTTTGGTGTCCTTATTCAGTGGAAGGCCTTTATCTCTTTTGTGTATATAATAAAGCTTGATCCCCTCAACTGTGAAATGAGAAGTCATCCTACATCAGCAGGTTGAAGGAGGTTGCGTTTCATGAATCAGAGACACCTCTCTCACTTTGGACAGACCCCAGATGCTCAATTCAGATTCTCTATAAATTCTCATTTGGTAGAGAATACAGAAGATTCAGCTTTGTTTCTTGATATAATAGAGAGAAACAATATTGTGAAGAAGAAAAAGATATGAATTCTAAGGATTAGTCACACAGCTGAATCACTGAATTCTAGTTCTTTCCCCAATGGCTGAGATAGGAATGCAGCTTGGAGAAATTGTACCAAGGGTCCTTCCAGCCCATAGAGGGAAAACTGCTGTTGAAGAAACAGGAAGAATTAGACTTCCTCTCCACACTCATATACATGTACATACATGCCAATATATACATACATGCTAATATGTATATATATGCATATGTACTGATCTCGCTACTTGGTGGAGGGCGGTGTAAAGAAGCATGGTACACAATCCATGTTCTTAAGGAACTTATAATTTAATTGAAAAGATAATATGCATATATAAAAATAATGAGATAGTAAGAAAGCAGGTCAGGTGAGTATATACCAAGCATTGAATGATTGGTAGGGTGTTATAAATAATACATTTTATAGAACTGGATCAGGAAAGAGTCCTTGGAGTAGGCAAACTTGAGTTTGTATGTAATAAACATTCACTAAGTCCATTTTCAGAGGATAATGATGATAGCTAAATCTTAAATACCACTGACAATAATATTACAGGCCCAATTCTAAGTGTTTTCCATACATGATATAATTTATTCTTCATAAAAATCCTCTGAGGCAAGATTAGGAAATTATAGCACTATAAATCCTACCTTGCTTTATGGATGAGGAAACTGAAGCTCAGGGAAATGAACTTTCTCAGGTCTCAAGTAGCCATGTTGGGATTTGAACCCAATGTTCTGTTCCCAGGGTCACCTCTTGACCACAATGTGACATTGTTTCTCAGTGGAGGGTACAGTATCATACAGATGGGTAGGGAAGAAAGCAGCTTCTAATCCGGAGAGGTGGGAATGCTCACAGTAGGGGGAAGCCAAGTTTGGGGGGACTGCTCATAAAAAAAAAAAAAGCACATAAAATTACAAATACAAAATTTAGGGAAAAGTGAAAATTTAGTTATAATATGAAAAAGAATCATAACAAACTTCAAATTTGAAAGAGCTGAAGAGTATTACATTCAATAATTACTCAGTAATAAATTTAATAAAATAATAATATTTTTATGAATGAATGAACCATGCACATGTTTGTTCCTACATTTGTTGGCATACTTGAATGCCAATAATTTTATAATTTGTTTTTCTATCGAGAGAATAGAAAGATGATTCAGTCTTTCCTTTAGCATTACTGATTAACGTTAGTATTCTAGTTTAGAAAAATAGCTTTCTGCTTCTGAATTCATGGCCAGTAATGCCATTTAAATATGTAGAACGGTTGTCAAATTTGGGAAAACCTCTAGCAAGTTTCTTTCACATATGACCTACAGGGATCCAGGACTCTTAGAACGTTCTTATTCTGTGACTAAAGGTAAGCCCTCCTAAAATCAATGCCATTTATGTGCTGATATCTTTGTTGTGGTGCAGAGATGACTGCAAACTACAGAAGTACTATTACATCCAAGCTAATGTATCCCCAACTCAGCTTCTACGTGTCCATATTCCATAAATTGCTATGGTCTCTCTAGTGCAGTCCAAAATGGGGGTGTGTGTAAAGGAGGGGCAGTTGAAGGGACAAAAACTAATGGTCTGAACAGACGGTGGTTAAATGGTTCTGCTTTTGACAATGTAATAAAACACACGATAGTGTGAACCCCCTGCTAGATCCCTCAGTGCTTCGAAGGGGTCCATACAAGCAAAGGATTCTGGAGCTTAACCTTCATGGACTTCCCTGTAAATCCCCCTTTCCTCATGATGTATCTCCTAGGTAGAGTGCAGGTCATCCTTACTGGAGTGGATGAAGCACTCCTACTGAACAGCAGTGGGAGAGGTAGCTGTGTCAGCTAAAGGGCAAATGGGGTCAGGGGACACACTTCACCGTCTTAGCTGTTGGTGGGGCATCATAGCTGGTGAGAATGTGTTTGTTGGTCTGTGACTAAAGTGACTCATTGGGCTGGCTTCTCACCAATTGATTTTGATGTGAATTTTGATTTTCCCTCTCTAGGCTGCCAGAAAAAGCAAGGAGAAGGTGTCTGCCAGGCCACAAAGTACGTTGGTAACAGTTACTAATCAATTGAAAGTTTTATTGTCCATATCTTGTAATAGAGGGCCATCCCTGGTTGTGTCTTATGATATGGTAGACAGGACTCCTTGATGGCTTGCATTACAATGTCCTTTTTATTTTTCCCATATTAAATTGTACCTTTGACCTCTGCTTCCCTGTCCTGCCAGCACGCTCTACTCCATCCTGGTGTGGGAGTTTTTTACTATAAATCCTTTGGATTGAGCCAACTCAGACTGGGCTGTGGCTAGCACAGGTCTGTGAGGACTCACTGATGACATAACTCATTCTAACAAAAAACATAACTCATTCTAACGTTCCAGAGTTGGGAGGTTTCTTAGAGAACATCAGTACAGTGGCTGCCAAATGATCTCCTCCTTGAGGGGACTGAGGAGGTGCTCAGGGTGTTCCTGTGGGGTTTGAGAGGGACCTAGTGGCTGGACCGTGTGCTCTTCCCACCACGTCACCTGGGTCAGTTACACGTTTATCTATTTTCTACATTTGAGTTCCAGACATGATTTTGTTGGAAACAGCAGTACTTTGTCACTTAAGTAGATGATGATCACTGATCTACTTCAATCTTCCTCCACTTTACAAAGAAAAGACACCCGATGTCCCCAGGATTTATGTGCTTTCATGTGGTGACGCCTCGGGGATTGGCCTGTGCGACCCAGGGTCCATACCTCTTTATGTGATACTGATGCCTTTTATCTTCCCAGGTACATGCGATGGTATCTGTGTGGACAATTCCCAATGCAGTCAACCTTGCCCTCCAGACACGTCAGGAAACATGGGGTTTTTATGTAGACAAAAGAAATGGCACAAGATCACTGATACCTGCCATACTCTTACTTCCTTAAACATCTTTGAGGTAATGATGTATTTTCTTTCACATGCAAAGCAGAACCCCAAATTAGCAAGGAATATTGCACCCCATAAGAGAGAAGGACAGCTCCAAGCAGGGTGGTAGGTAGGGATGCTTACAGCTGAATACATAAACACCTACTTGTCCTCTCTCTCTATGCTAGAATGGCATTCTTAACTTTGGGCATGTAGAAGTTTGTGCTCCAGTCTCCCACACCTCTCATGGCACAAAGGAGTTTGATCACCAAGGTCAGAGCTAGAAGATAGGTCTAGAATTATCACAGCTTACTTCACTTTCACTCTTAGCTCTTCAATACCCCAAAGCCTGGCAACTCAATGTGTCCTTCACTGACCGGTAGCACAGGGCATCTCAGAACTTTCAGACATGGGGAGATGAGTTCCCACCTCAGACCTGCTGCATCTGAATATACATTTTACCAAGATCTCCCGGTGACCTCTGTGCTCAGTAAAGGAATGAGAAGAGAGCTGACCGAAAGGGAGGGACGTCATGGTCAAATAATGGAACGCATTTCCATGCACACTTAAGAAGCTACACTTTTAAAAAAATCAAATTCTAGTAAATGAATTCAGGTCCAATGTTATTTCTTCTTCTTTTGTTTCTATTTCTCCTGTTCCAGCAGGGGCTTTGTCTTTCTGAAGGTCAGCTCCTGATTTTTTCAGAGAAGTCAATGCTTGAGCATTTCCTGGGTCCTCACAACATTCCCATCCTCTGTTTTCCGGCATGACCAGGAGGAACAGTGGGTGTGATACCTGAAATTCCCCTACCAGACTTCAAATGGCTGCCTACCTTTGATTTGAAGGACCTGGGCAAAGATACACGTGGAGACACACTTACCATATGTCTTAACGTTTAAATGCTTTAAACCAAGTGTACGAACTGCGAAATAAAGCAGGCTCTGTCAGCCTCCCATCCTAGATTCCATCCTGTACCTCGAGGGTGGTAGAAGGCCAAGGTCACACAGCCATGAGCCTGAGCACAGGTGTCTCTTTGACACATCTCAGGCCTACGGTGAGCCCACTGGTGGCATGGTCCATCCTTGGCAGCACAGACCTAGGGGAGGCCTGGAAATGGGCTTGCAGTTGTCAAGTAGAATACTGGGGTATCTAGAAACAGGGACATGAGTTCTGACTAGGCATGGCCTCTAGGCTATGGACTCCTTCTCCATTGTGAAGGGGTAGGCTGGAGAAAGGGGTTCCCTTAAAGCAAGGTTTAGCACTTTTGCTCTGTAGGGGGCCAGAGAGTAAATAATTTAGGCGTTGTGGCTATTATGGCCTCTGTTGCATCTATTCAGCTCTTGTAGCATGAAACCATTGTAGCATGAAAGCAGCCATAGACAATGCTTACAACGCATGAGCAAGCTGAGTCCCACCAAAATTTTATTTATAAAAAACAGGTGGCCAAGCAGGGTCCATAGTTTGCTGCCCCTGCTTTAAAGTGTGGGACCCAGAGCGTGAATCTGTGGGAAATACCACTATTTTTAGTCATTCTTCTCTCTTGGTATTCCACTTGATTTATTCAAATCTAGTTCAAGATTTTTATGTTTAAAATATGCTTATGTTTCATGCCTTTGCCCCTTGGGAAGAATGAAAAATAAGTTTAAGTGGCACTAGAAATGTACCTAAATGCACACTATATTCACACAAAAGGGCTATTAAGCACTATGCTAAAGATAACAGTTGCTCTTTAGAAGCAGAAGGTCCAGGAGTAGGCAGCTGGCAAGCTGAAACTTCCCTCTTCTGTCCATACACCTTGGTATTGGGTAGGTTGTTCCATAGCAAATGTGACTTTGACAATATCAGTAGAAAAACATACACTTGTGTAACAAGGCTGTCTGACATTTTGGTAAAGTTACTTTTACAATGAAAACCAAAGTAATGTGATAAAAAAAATTCTTTTTGTCATTTTTTAGGAGCATTTCAATACAATCTCATCATCTGAAAGAAATATAACACTTGAGTATGCCAGACCATCTGAGACCATTGCAGATTTGTTGATGCAGAAGTGTCCAAAGGATCTGTCCTGTGTCATCACAAACATCCAGCATTCTCCCCGGATACCAGGGAACATTGCTGTCATTGTGCAGCTCCTACACAACATTTCAACTATGCTGTCGACAGATGTGGATGAAGTGAAGATGGAAGTGAGTGGCCTTGAGTATTTGGGAGAGCATCTGTTGGGGTTTTTTTTGTTTTTGTTTTTTCAGGGTATGGGAAAAGAATGCAGGTTAGTTGGAACTTTGGGGGTCTGAGGAGACCATGTCTTTCACCTCAGTATCGCCAACACCTGGTAAGTGTTTAAAATAAATCTTCACTGAAGGAGAAAATTGAATAAATGAATGGAAAAAGTGAATCCACTTAAACAACAAACATTTAGAGAGAGCGCTTACTGGGTGCTGGATTGGACATTGAAGCAAGCTTTTCCAATGTATAGTTTGGCTACTGCAAACCTCTAAGAGCCAATCTAGGTCCTGCAGAGAGAAAAACATTTATTTCTGAGTTAGAACAGGTTGCTAAAATAGAAAATAACTGGATGCCAAGAAAACAGCCATATAGGTCTGCTGCAAAAAGTGTGAAATGGAACTCGACCCATTTAGGGGGCTTTGATCTTCAAAGTAGAGGATAGTGAAAAGGAGGTTCAGGTTCTGGGGTCAGTTTCCATGTTTGATGGTCCTGTGCAGTGGGGATGTAATAGATGTCAATTACAGAGGCAGTGCTCTGAGCAGGGTAAGCAAATTGTTGGTGGCATCCAGGTGTGAAGTGGAACTTGATGGAAATGAACATGGTGAAGGCTACCCTCTTGCTTGCCTCCCAGAAAGGCATTGCATAAACAGGAGAAGGACAGCTTCCTTGTAGCTCTATCCTCCAACTCAAACTTGAGCGGTTTGTGAGTCACCTGGGGATCTCATTAAGGTGCTGATTCTGATTCATTCTGATTCATTAGGTCTGGGGTGGGGCCCATGATTCTGTTTATTTAAGAGGTTCCCAGGGAATGCTTATATTGCTAGTTGAAGGACCATACCTTATAAAAGTGAAGCTTGCTAAGATATGGAAACAGCCCAAGTGTTTGTCAGTAGATGAATAGATAAAAAAAAGCTGTAGTACATTTACACAATGGAATACTATGCAGCTGTTAAAAAGAAGGATCTCTTACCCTTTGAGACAGCATGAAAGGACCTGGAGAGTATTACGCTAAGCAAAATAAGCCAGTCAGAGAAAGACAAGATCACATGATCTCACTTATACGTGGAATCTAATGAACAAAATAAACTGACAAACAAATAGTCCCAGAGGCATGGAAACATGGAACAGACTGACAATATCACTGGAAGGGAGGGGGCAGGAAGAGATTAACCAAAGAACTTATATGAATCTATTCATAGCCCATGGACCTAGAAAATAATGTGGTGACGGCCTGGGGTGAGGCAGGAGCTGGTGGAGAGGGGTAAAGGAGGGGGGAAATAAGAGGTAGCTGTAGTACCTTCAACAATAAAAATTAATTTTTTTAAAAGTGAAGCTTGAATGTCCTGGTAGATTCAGACAGTGGCTCAGTAATTATGCCTGTTCTTCATTGACAGAGTTACAGCATCATGGCCAACCACATCCTTGACAGCAGAAGCATCCCAAACTGGACCTTCATTCCTGAAAAAAACAGCAGCTGTGTGCTGCTACACTCAGTCAATACCTTTGCAAGAAAGCTACTTACGAATAAACATTCCATTGACATAGCGGATGTCTTTATTCACACTATGTGCACCACCATATCTGGAGACAGCGATGGACAAAACTTAACTTTCTCAATGAAGGTTAATGACACCAGCAATAGAGTAACCGGGAGGGTTTTGATCAGCAGAGATGAAGCTCAGAAGGTGCAGTCTCCTTCCCAGGTCGTCAGCATTGCATTTCCAACTCTTGGGGCCATCTTAGAAGCCAGTCTTTTGGAAAAGGTCACTGTGAATGGACTTGTCCTGTCTGTCATTTTGCCCAAGGAACTTACAAGAATCTCACTGATTTTTGAAAAGATCAAGAATTCGGAAGAGAGGAGGACACAGTGTGTTGGCTGGCACTCGTTAGAGAGCAGATGGGACCAGCACGCCTGTCAAATGATTCAAGAAAACTCCCAGCAAGCTGTTTGCAAATGTAGGCCAAGCAAGTTGTTTACCTCATTCTCCATTCTGATGTCTCCGCACACCTTGAAGAATCCCATCCTGATTTACATCACGTACATAGGCCTGGGCATTTCTATTTGCAGCTTGATCCTTTGCTTGTCCATTGAGGCCTTGGTCTGGAGCCAAGTGACAAAGACAGAGATCTCCTATTTACGCCACTTGTGTATCGCTAACGTGGCGGCCGCCTTGCTGATGGCTGATGTATGGTTCATCGTGGCTTCCTTTCTCAGTGGCCCAACGACACACCACAATGCATGTGTGGCAGCAACATTTTTTGTTCATTTCTTTTACCTTTCTGTGTTTTTCTGGATGCTTGCTAAAGCACTTCTTATTCTCTATGGAATCCTGATTGTTTTCCATACACTGCCCAAGTCAGTCCTGGTGGCTTCTCTCTTTTCAGTGGGCTATGGGTGCCCTTTGGTCATTGCTGTTATCACAGTTGCTGTCACTGAGCCTGGCAAAGGCTACCTACGGCCTGAGGCCTGCTGGCTCAACTGGGACACGACCAAGGCCCTCCTGGCCTTTGTGGTCCCAGCCCTGGCCATTGTGGTAATAAACCTGATCACAGTGACACTGGTAATTGTCAAGACCCAACGAGCGACCATTGGCAGTTCCATGTTCCAGGAGGTGAGAGCCATTGTGAGAATCAGTAAGAATATCGCCATCCTCACTCCACTCCTGGGCCTGACCTGGGGATTCGGGATAGCTGTGGTCATCAAAGATCGCTCCCTCGTCTTCCACATTCTCTTCTCCTTGCTTAATGCTTTCCAGGTAAGTCCAGACACCTCTGACCAAGTCCAAAGCGAGAGAATTTACAAAGAAGTTTTGTGATCAGGAGGTTGTGCCATTATATTAATTATAAAAGACAGTGGTTTTGGAATAGCCTATTGGGTCAGGAAATAAGCTTTTGTTTCAGAAAGGCCTGGATTCACATTTTGACTCTCTCATTGACTAACGTGTAACATTCTCCTGAAATATTTGCTTAACGTTTCCAAGCCATATTTCTTCTCACTTATTGAATGGGATCAATCTGCTCACTTTATACGAGTATTTGGATAATGAAATAAACTAGTGAATGCAAAAGCACCAAGTATTAAGGTAGCAAGTATCCTAACAGTAGACTGAGTTTTAACTAGTTTGGAAATGAAACACTACCACTTCCCCCCAAATCTAGGTATGTAACTAGAAGTATTTACATTTCTATTTTATTCCATTTAAAATGTCTAGTTACCATTGGAAACCATCTTGTTTTAATGAAGCAGGCTGTACAGAGTGGTATTAAAGATAATTTCCCCTGTCCTCTCCTCACTTACCGCATCTCTGTGAACTAAAAAAAAAAAAAAAATGTTTATAGTTTCATGTATATACTTGCCAAACTCTCAATGCTTATATACAAACATATTTTCACATCATATAGGGGTTAAAAAACAATGTATAGTATTTTGCAACTTACTCTATCACTTAAAAATACATTTCAGCATTTTGCCAGCTTACTATGGATATGTATGTTTCTTTAATGGCTGGATAATATTCACTATTCAATAATTCTCTCTCTCTCTCTCTCTCTTTAATCTTCACCCGAGGGTATTTTTCCATTGATTTTTAGATAGAGTGGAAGGGAGTGGGGAAGAGAGGAAGAGAGAGAGAAACATCAATATGAGAGAAACATATCGATTGGTTGCCTCCCACACAACCCCAACCGGAGCCGCGGATCAAACCTGCAACCCAGGTATGTGCCCTTTACCGAGAATTGAGCACATGACACTTCGATCCGTGGGCCACCTTTCTAACTGCTGAGCCAAATAGGCCAGGGCAACAATTCCCTTCTTGAATGAATTTCTATTTCATTTTTTTCTGTCACAGTGTACCAATGAGTCAAAGTGTATTATATTGAATGTTAAATATATAAATAGCAACTAATTAAAAAGAAAGTTTTTATTTTTCTAAAGACTTCTAAAATATTTCTTTTCCTGAACATATGCTTATTTGAAAAAAAGCTTATTTTTCAATAAATATTTTACCTAATGAATCATCGAGATTTTTAAGACAGACATTTCTCATTTTTCTGTTTTAAAATTTAAGTATAAATGACTTTATTTATAATAAACATTTCGATGTCTCAGAGAACAATGTGAACAATAATGGGGTGCCTAATCTTTTGAATCTCTGTTGTTGTATTATTCATTTCTATAGAATATATTAACTGTCCCCTACATTTTTTTTATAGCTCCTAGTAAACATCAATTCCCTTACTCATGTTATGCAGCTAATCTCTGAGGACTGGGCTAAAAGCCCTGTGTTCCCCAATTTCTGTTCAGCATATCCCATGGCTATTTGCCATGTACTTAATGAGCTTATGTCTTACTCCTCAGAATTTTCCTTTTCTTGTCTCCCTTGGAGCCATCTTAACTATGGTTTTGTTTTGGACGAGGCTGTGAGCACTTGTATTTTGGTATCATAAGCTCTTTTACCTGTCATAACAGGATCAACTTGTAATTTAAACTCAGTTTCTGCCTTGACACCCGGCAAGGAGAAGGGTCTAAGTGCCAATACCGATGGGACAGGGAGAAGCTGAGAGCAGGGTTTGGGTGAAGGCCAGACATCAGGCAAGCACCAGGCAGCGGTGTGCTGGGGCAGCTTGTACTGGCCCAGGAGAGCTGACTGCTGTCATTTCAGGAATTCGGTGAGTTGGTTGCAAACACAGACATCATTAAATTATGTAGACTCATCATTCAATAAATTAGATGAAAAACAAAGGTCAAACATCCTCAAAAATCCATCACTTCCTAATTGTTTTTCTATAGTTTACCCTGCTCTTGAGGTTATTTGAATCTCCTGTATCTTTTGGGTGGAAACACTGTATCATGATGTACCCATCTCTTCCTAACTCCTTGGTTAGTGATGTCCTGTTGCTAGATTTAAATCAACCATGGTGGGGGGAGTTAGCCATGAAGATTGGCAAGTGCTACAAATGAGCAGAGTTCATGGCCAACATATGGGTGGTTCAAGGTACCATTGGGAGGAGAGAAAGAAGAGCCATAGATCCGGTGAGTTGGGAGACAGAAACAACTAAGCGGGAAGAAGCGGGATGAGCGGAGTCTTAGGATGAGCTGAGATGAGGAGCAACTGAGGCTGATGGAGCAGGCAGAGAAGAAAGATGCCTAAACATACTGGGAGGTCCAGAGGTGTAGGAGAAAGCCTCTTTGAAAGATGTCTTGGGTCTGGGCTTGTGGGAGCACCCCCACTGGTTTTAAAGCTCAACCACCCCCTTTACTAGGGAAAGAGTATTATATGGGGGTGGGGTGGCAAAAGTAGGTTTATAGTTGTGAGTACGTGAAAGAGTTTATTCTTGTAATATTTGTTAAGTATTGTATTACTTTCCCTACGAACAACCGTAATACCACTTTTGCTCACCCTGTACAGTCAGTTGCTGCCTTGAATGCTACTTTGTCAATCTGTAACTTCTATGGATATCTTCTCTTGTATTTACAGAGTAATTGTGGGCTGGGTAAGGTTCAGGGACCCATACAATTCTGGGGGGCTTATGAACAACAGAAATTTATTTATCAGAGTTCTGGTGGCTGGGAAGTCCAAGATCAAGACATGAGCAAATTCGGAGTCTTATGAGAGCCTACTCCCTGGTTTAGAGATGGTCTTCTCACTATAAGGGGGAAGGGGGCTCCCTGGGGCCTCATTTGTAAGGACATTGATCTATCTCATGAGGGCTCCACCCTCATGACCTAATCACCTCCCAAAGATGTGCCTCCAAATACCTTCACATTGGGGGTTAGGATTGAATATACAAATTTGGGGCGGGGTAGAGAGCACAAACATTTACTCTGTAGCAGTAAAGCACATATTTTAAAACCTGGAAGAACACCTTGGGATTTATCTGCTCGAATTGCACTTTTCCTAGCATAAGAAATGCAAAGTGGGTGCTACCAGTGAATTCATCTCAATCAGAAATTAAACTTTACGGCTAATATTTTATCCACATTTTCTGAATGACATTTTATGCAACTTTTCCCAAGGTGGCATGGATCAATGAAGAGTGGTTGTAGTAGGGTAGTTCCCTGTTACATATTTATAGCTGTGCAGAGGCAGACTGCATGATAAAGAAATTACACACATACATAGACTCAGACACACACACATACACAGAAGACACCATATTTATTGAGTATTTATTTTGTGCCAAACATTATGCTAAATATTGAAGATATAAATTTAATTAGTCCAACCTTAAGAAATTGAAAATCTTTCAAGGAGATAAATTTTTCTTAGTCCTATAGCCAAAGGAATGTATATTTGTGAAGGAAACAGGCAAAAATTGTGGTTCTCAGATCTTTTCAAAATTTAATTCTTGTGAAAAAAATTTATGGAGATTCTGATTTAAAATGTATTATTCGTGCCAAAACCAGACTTAGATTTATTTGTCTGAAGCATCTGTACACAAATGATACTTTGTACCCTTGTGGATCATGCTATCAGTGGCATTTTATTAGTAGACCAATGACAGATTTCAATAGCTTTCTTTTAGGCTAAGAAAGTCACACAAGAAAGCAATCCAAGCATGGAGGACTTGCTGGACTGGCTGAATGGAGAGGTGTATTTCAGTATGTTTGGGGGACTTGATGAGCTGCATGGCCATCCGAGCACTGGTCCCTGTGAAGTCTTCACCTCTCTGCTGAGCTTTTGAAAACCATGGCAGTAGTGGGTTGGTACTGCTCCTGCTGATGACCAACTTGTTGTAACATCGTCATTATTTTGTATGAAATCTGTGTGCCTTGACAGACCTCTGCCTGGGTAAGGGCTCACATTTGATTATGAAATCAGAGCAACTTAACAAGGATGCCTAAATCAAAGGTCATTCTCTCCTCTTTTCGGATGAGCAAAGACCTGAGTAATCACACTTTTAAGAGACATTTTGTCTAATCAATATTGCTGTCTATCACATTTTGAAAGTTGAATCTCTGACCTTCATTTCTTCTATCTGCAAAATAGGATGAATACTTTTTCTTCTTCCAAGTGGTTCTGTGCCACTACATATGAAAAAAATTGAAAACTCAAATGGACTATAATGATGGAGGAACAGCCTCCTTTTGACTTTAATAGAGTTCTGTTTGTTGTGGATGATAAGAGCTATGAGAGCTAATTAATTCCCTCTATGTCATATTTGGAACACTTATTTCTGAGCACCCATCATATGTTTGGAGACTCAATCTGTTTTGGGTCTTAGTTTTTCTGATGATCTGTATATTTGATTTTTCTTTGCAAATTTTATAACAGTTGTTGGGTGTGGATGGAAGAAGGAGATTGAGGGTGTTAAATAAAACTGAGCATGGATGCTTTTTATTTTATTTTTTTTTGTAGAAGTTTCTTTCATTGCTAATTATTCAGGGATGTAAGGCTGCCGTCCATTGTCTAACATCTCTGACTGTTGTTGGACCGTTATATTTTGATGACATTCACAGCCCCTGATAAATCCAAAACACTTTTATTTTCCCCAAATTAAAAAGAAATTCTTATAGTATATTTATATGAATATGGGGCCTTGGTCTGTTTGGTTTACTGAGGTACCCAGAGTGTCCGGAACAGTGGCCAGCACCGGGGGGACACTCTATTGATTATTTGCTGAATGGATTAATCTAGGTGTTGTGACCTTAAAATGAGTCAAAGATTGAATGAAATGGTCTTTATTTTAGTTTTCTTTTTACTCTTATATCAGTTTCAGAATAGAAACTGGTAATGAATGCTGGCATTTCTTCTTATTATTATTAGTATTGTTTTGTAAATGATGCTTCTTCCCTCTTCTCTCTTTTTCAGGGCTTCTTCATCTTGGTGTTTGGAACAATCCTGGATCCAAAGGTACTATAAATTCTTCTTGTTCTTTTTCTTTATGTATTAACAATACTTGGCCCTGAAATGCTCATTTGTAAAGCGCACCTACTGAGGGGTTTCATCTCAATGATTTGTGCAGACACTTGAACAGCACATCACTGCTCTTCATGATGCAAGTAATATCAGCCATCTTTCAAGCTCTTATTGAAAGCATATTATGTACATTAGCTCTAATCCTTAAAACAATCTTTGGTATTCCTATTTTCAGTTTTATGGATGAGGAAACAGACTCAAAGTAATTAAGTAGCTTGCTACAGAAACCCACACTACCTAGTTGGAGCAGAAAATAATTTATTAAAACTCACAATATCATTTTTGGGAAGACCTCTCTTTGGCTTGGAGGCATGGAGGCTGCACACCAGATATAGTCCCCAGTTCACAGGACACAGCTGCTCCACATGCAACACCTTCCCCACTTTGCTGGGCACCAAGCCAATGTCAGACAGTGGATGCTAAGCTAGAGTTACTGCTACTGCTTCCTCAGGGATCACCTCTATCCTGCCTGTTGGGACCCACTGGTACCTGCTTCCCTTTCTTTTCTTCTTCTTTTTTTAAATTTATTTTTCTTTATTGATATTAGAAAGAGAGAGGAAGGGAGAGGAATAGACAGAAACATTTATGAGAGAGAATATCGATTAACTTCTTCCTGCATGCCCCCCACTGGGGATCAGACCAACAACCTGGGCATGTCCCCTGACAGGGAATCAAAATGCCGACCTCTTGGTTCATGGGTCAACACTCAACCACTGGGCCACACAAGCCTAATAGTACCTGCTTCTTGAATTGTCATGTCTGATTGGCTGAGCCCAGGTCACATGGCTGCATCATAGCTGCAAGGGAGGCTGGGAAAGTAAGTTCCTGACTTCTACCTGGAAGAGCAAGGGCTCCAGGAAGGGAATTCTCCTAATACAGAGAGCATGGATAGGTAGTGGGTGGTGAAAACAAATAAAACCTAAACAAACGAACAAAACAACAAATGATTGCTTAGACTTCTAAAATCACCTTCCCTCCATTGTACTGTACTGTCTCTAGAAATGAGAAAAGCACATAACCCTTTTACCCTTTCAGATGTAGATACAAACACCTTCGCTGCAGGGTTTTTATGTTTTTGTTTGTTTCATATTTTTAGAGAGAGAAGAGGGAAAGGGGAAACAGGGATAGAAACATCAATGAGAGAGAACAGTGACTGGCTGCCTCCTGCATGCCCTGCACTGGGAATTCGGCTCAGAGCCTGGGCATGTGCCCTGACCGGGAATCGAACTGGTGACCTCATGGGCCATTGCTCAACCACTGAGCCACACCGGCTAAGCTTCAGGGGTTATTTTTTATTTATTTTTATTAACAATATGCTCTATTACTAACAAGTTAATATGCAAGATTTGTAAAAAAAATAAAATAAAAAAAAAGCATTTTATAATGGTCCTTCCATTTTCTCATGAGGATACCATAACCTGATAAAAATTATTCAGAGGTGAAAGTTAAAGTATTAGTCTTTTAGTCTTAATATTTCTACATTCTGGCTGTGTGCCACTGAGGAGTTCCTTAACTCTCATGAACCTCAGATTCCTGAAAGGGAATGCAGAGATAATGATGATTTCCCTGCCTTTTCTGCTAAATTATGATAAAGAACAAAAGCAATTTTACAAATGAAAACACATGAAAAGCATTTAAGTTATTATGCAGTTGTATGCCATATTATGATTTTTCAAATTAATATAATACAAAACTAGCATTTGTAGGCAAAACATCAGAAGCAGCATTATTGTTTATTGGTGTACCAATGTTAGATGTTGTAAGATGTCCAAAAAACTCTAAAACATGGAAGATTCCATCACAATCAAAACCTCTTACTTTTAAAATTATAATGTAAAAGGTAAATACTGAAAGGCATTATGATTAATTGACAAAAAATCATACAGTAGTCTCCCCATATCCTTGGGGAATACTTTCCAGGACCCCCTGTGGGTGCTTGATATTGAGGATAGTATCAAACCCTAATTATACTCTGCTTTTTTCCTTACACGTACATTTTAAAAAAATTTACTCTAAAGTTTAATTGATAAATTAGGCATAGTAAGAGATTAACAGTAATATCTAAAAATAAAATAGAACAATAATAACAATATACTGTAATAAAAGTTATGTCAATGTGGTTTTTCTCTTAAAATGTCTTATTAAACTATACCCACCGTTTCACTTGAAGCGCTTTACAGCTTCTATATGGCATGTCTGCATTATGTCACTACTCTTGCCTCTCGGAACCATTATTAAGTAAAATAAGTGTTCCTTGAACACAAACACTGTAACACTGTGACAATCGACCTGATAACCAACATGGTTAAGTGACTAACAGGTGGGTAGTGTTTACAGCATGGAGACACTGGACAGAGTGAGGATTCACATCCCAGGCGGATGGAGCAGAATGGCGGGCGATTTCATTACACTACTCAGAACAGCACACAATTTATTTTATTTTATTTTATTTTATCCTCACCCGAGGACATTTTGCTATTTTTTGTTCAGATAGAGTGTGTGTGGGGGGGAGAGAGAGAGAGAGAGAGAGAGAGAGAGAGAAACATCGACGTGAAAGGGACACATTGAGTGGATGCCACCTGCACGACCAACCAGGGCCGGGGACAAACTGCAACCAAGGTACATGCCCTTAGCGGGAACCGAACCCGGGTCTCTCTGGACTGCAGGCCAATGCTCCAACTGCTGAGTCAAACCGGCCAGGGCAGAACAGCACACAATTTAAAATTTACAAATGGTTGGCTTCAGGAATTTCCCCTTTAATATTTCAGACCATAGTTGACTGTGGGTAACAGAAACGACAGAAAGAAGAATGACAGATAAGGGGACACTATTGTATATATCAGCAGTCTTTAAACATTTAGAATCAGCAAAAACCAGTGAGCACCTATCACCAGATGTGCTTCTTATTAATGTACAAAGTATGTATGATACACATTATAAAGCATAGACTTGAAACAAGATGAGAGGAAAGAAATTTAAATCGAGGCTGCAGTACGTTTTTACATATTGCGATGGACTTTGGGTGCTCGGACCCCCACCCCAGGGAGTGCTGTACCTGCCTGGAACCTGTGTGACAGAACAGTGCGCTTTCGGGGAAGGCTGACGTCACTCTGAGCTAGAGGACTCGGGCATATGTGAACTGGGAAGACAACACTTCTACGAGTCCATAGGTGATGACTAGCATTTTATATAGCAAAAGGAAAGAGGGAGTAGAAATGAGAAGAACGTGCCTATATACTGTAGGAGAGACTTAGGGAAAATGACAGGGTGGTCTGAAGGCAGGGGACTCAACACCCGGCTCTTTCTCTTTCTAGCAGACTGGCATTGCATGCAATGGAATATCGGAGTCTTAGTTCCTCAGTTGTACCTGTCGTCCAGGGTTTTTTTTTTGGATCAAATGAGATGGCAGGTGTGAAAAGCACTTTCAAGTTATAAAACAATATATCATTGTTATTTATTATTCCTATTTTCTTGGTCCCACCAGTCATTGCTGTGTTTTTGGTTGTGTAGGATTCTTTTTCTTTTTCTTTTTTAAACCATGGTTAGGTCCTCTAGAAAAGGAAGTTTGAATAGTTGACAAAATGTGGGAAATGTTCAACTATACTCCCCCGAAATACTCCCAAAGCTGGCAAGGAATCTTCAAACTGGTGGCAAACTGTATTTCTTAGCCACTGGATTCATTTTCGAGGACCTGAATATAAATCTCTTATGCTGGCTCCACCTCGCTTATCACTCCGCGTCTCCCCACCTTCTCCCCAACCATTTCACCAAGTCACCGATGCCTCCAAATCCCGCCAACAGCACCTGACTGGGAACACGCTGCCCTACCCCAATACAAGCCAGGCCCAAACACATGTGCATTTCTTACAATCTCTTGATCTTAATTTTTTTTTAATTAACTATACAGATAAGAGAAGCCTTAAAGAATCGAGTAACCTCTACAAAGTGGATCTCCAGAATATCAGAGGTAAAGCCTTCATATTTATTGTTTGCACCTAAACGTTTGACAAGGGAACAATGCCGGAGTCTCCTGCACGCGGAGTGTTTCTAAAACATCCCTTAACACTTTGTAGTATGGTGTTTTCACAAGTGCCCAGTGAGTGCTTCTCTGAGCTGTTCAAGTTCTTCCTGGAGTCCTGGGACCACATCTGAAGAGATGGAGGTCGATTTAAATGCATGCAGAGGGGGCGTGACCAAGCTTCAGGGCCTGGCGGGGTGAGCCTCACACCAGACCTCTGGAGAGCAAGGGAGGAAACAGACAAGCAGGGAAGATTAAAAAGTCTCAGGTTCCGTGGCACCCCACTTGTTCTTTAGGACTTCAATTTGTTGAACCACATCTCAAGTGAAAATTCCAGGGACACGAATTCAGAACCTACACAAAGAATTACCCAATAGCTTGAGTTGTTAAAGAAGGTTAGGGGCCTGTTCAGTCATTGGATGGTATGTATGCCCTTTCATGTATCACCACTGCCTATAATTTAGTATCTATGTAGTATTGTTAGGCAAAATGCGACCCCTGAAAAGTTGAGACAATTTTAAATGGCAGCAAAAGAGGGGATCCAGGGGACATACCCAGACACAAGAGAAGAGGCCACCTAGAGGTTCCCACGCCAACACCTGATGGGATCCACACGGGTCAGCATGGACTGGGTTGGCAGGAGATTTGCATGGAGAGGGGTGATGAGTCATTCTAGGGACCGGGCACCCTGTGGTCCTGGGTAGCAGCATCACCCCTTCCTATGATCCTTGCCTTCCCATCCCCTCTCCTTTGCTTCCCTTAGCCCTCTTCTTCTTCTTCCCTTTATTTTTTTTTCCTCTTTTGCCTTACCCTTACCAAAGCTTTGATCTTATCCCCAATCATTGGTCTTTATACCTGGGAAATTGCTGACCCCTCTACAGCCCTTTCTTCAGAAAAATAAAAAAATAACAACCCCTCCCCACCCCCAGGCCAACCCTACCATATTTTTCTGAGTATAAAACAGTGGTTCTGTAGCCACAGTACCCAACCTTAGCCAAACTTCGGAATTAGCCAGGAAGCTTCAAATAATGTTGCCTGCCCCCCCCCCCCCCCCGAAGCTTTCATTCACTTGGTCTGCAGTGTGGCTTGAGTTCTAGGTGATTGTAACGTAGTCAAGGTTGAGACCCACTCATCTAAGTCTTCCTGAAGTGTCTTAGCATGGTACATATTTTCTTCACCATTGTACCTGCCGTAAGTATTCCCTGCTACCTCTCTCTAGTCTGCGCCCGTACTCTCAGGAGAGGGTGTGACTGTTCCAATCTCTTCCAGGTCAGCATGGCTCCTTTCCTTCTGTGTTTTCAGTATTGATCCATTCAGCCACCACATGGACATTTCCTTCTTCAGTGCTTTGGAGAAATAGTCATTAAAAAAATGTCTTTTTTAAGATACACCAGGGTCATACCCAGAACTTTATTATCAGTTTTAATTGTCTGGATTCGTGCTTTTCAATGCTGGCTGCACCTTAGAAACACCTAGAGAGCTTTTAAAATATATCACTGTTCTGAATCCACCTGAGAAAATTTAACCAGAAAGCCTTGGGGGTAGGGCCACATTATTTTTAAAGCTCTCCGGTGCTGCTAGTAAAGTTATCCTAACTTCTTGCAGTCCTTCCTTCACTGTGCTCACCAGTTTTTGCTCATTACAAGTCAGTTTCATCATCCCTACTCAGAAAAAGTAGGTTTATCATGTTTCCTCCTCGCCTGCTTTGCAAGCCTCTGACCCCTAGGTGGCAGTGCACTACAGTCCAGATTCATTGTGATATTTATGCAGGGAGTGTCAGCCCTGGGTTTCCAAACCCAGGGTGATCAATGTGCTTGTCTGTGTTCATTTAATACTCAGTGTGACAAATTAGTCTATGCTCATGTAATAATTCTACCAATGAATTAATGCATTACCTGTCTTAGGCAACATATACTTAAAATACAGGATATTTCAGACTCAGTCCCCTTACAGGGGAATGACTTTAACATGGAGAAGTTCAGCGGACCAGCTGAGAGGAGCGATTTGGGGGCTAGGAGATATTTTAAGGTTGATCTTTTCCTCCAGTCCCCTCAACTGCCTTCTCCCATTTTCCTCCCAAACCAGAGGCTCCTTTAGGCCCGGCCAAGGAGGGAGGATTCCTCCTACCAGGCTGGTCCTATGTTGTCAGCAGTTCTAATACAAACTGGGAGAGAGAGAAAGTAAAATGATAAAATAAATTGCTGTAGGTCACAAATTTCCGTGTGCTTTGGATAAATGATCATTGAAAACAAACCAATAATAACGGAAATTATACTTTTATCTTCAACAGAACCTTTCTTCTGATTTCTCTTGCCACCCCACCAAAGGGCCAAGCTAACAAACCAGGCTACACTCCTAACTTGGGAGGTGAGTGTAACACAAGTGGGTCCCCATATACATATGCCATTTTTTAAAAAAATTCACGATGTGACAAATTCTGATTAGAATGTGTTTTTTCTTGATTGAAAGGATTCTCCATATGCAATTTATTCTCATCTAGCTAAGGTCAGAGAGACATTCACACCTCTAATTCTTGTATCACTGAAATTTTGGTTGTTCCTGTGAAAAAATCAGGCCTGTCTGAGAATGCTCTTAAATTAGTGTGAGTGTATTTAAGAGGACAGTGAGCAGAGGTTCTAGCTCCACACAGCTGCTCCCTCTCCTCCTCCTCCTTTCTAGTTCCTCAACCCCAGGACATCCTCTGTGATAGCAACAATCTCCCCAGATTTCCCACTAGGAGAAAACTCTTCCCTCGTGTGAACTGGTCAGGAATTATGATACACACCATCTGTGCGAGGCTTCAGAGACAATGTAGAAGTGAATTTACATATAAGGATAGTGTCTGAGAGATAGACGGAGATAGAGAAACACAATCAGAAAGGGAACCACGGGGGGAAACAGAAATAGAGATACTTACCAAGGGGCATGGCAAGTCACTGATGGAAGGGAGCCATCCAGATACACAGACATGTGCAAAGTGTCTTCCAACCTCTGTCTCTATGTCTCTGTAGTTCCAGAGAGAGATGACCAGAGAGGGAGATGGTGACATCTACCCCGGGACACACACATTCACAGTTTGAGAGATGCCAAGGGAGGCCAAGAGTTGCAGAGAGAGACCAGAGAAATACAGAAAGAAACAAAATACACACACACACATACAGACTGAGACTCACACAGAGACATACAGGGGAAAAAAAAGATACAGAGAGAGGCCCTCAGATATGTAGAGAGAGCCTGCCACTCCCACCCCAGTACACCCAGGTTCCAGCAGGCTCTGTGGCTGAGATCTTCTACAATGGCCCAGGTCCTTGGACAAAGAAATGGGCATTTTCCAAGAGGAAAGGAGGTGGTCCACCTTAAAGGAAGACAAGGTTTTTTTAACAGCACCTGTGAGCAGTAGAACAAGCCTGTTCCCTGAGTTCCAGAGGTACTCAAAGGGAAGAGATTCTCCATTTGCCAAGGAGGCTCTACCCCAGGGGCTGACGGTACCAGAGAGGGTGAACCTATAATGCAGTTGCAGTGAGGCTTTGGGTCTTGCTATTTGTACATAAAGCTATGATTTTCTGTTCTTGACAAGGTCATACATTCCAGGAATGGTGGAGCCCCCAGGAGAAATGTGCCATTCTTCTCTTCTTGCCTCTGGGGAATATGAAGAACGCCTCCCAGGCTGCCGTGCAGACAACGAGGATGAGACTTGGGGAAAGGGTGGAAGGCCTCTCTGCTGCGTCTTTGCTGTGAATCGCTTCTCCCTCACCAACTGTCAACATATCTATGCCATTCTGGGCATCCACAGGGGAACAGAAAGACAAAGTAGGCCACAGCAGGACCTTAGTTTTGCCAGGCCTCCAGCTCCAAGCTGTGGGTCATGTTCACTCACCCTCAGGAAGAGCACTCTGGCTGATCCCGGCAAAAGCCACCTGGGATATCACCTGGCTGGATTCTGTGGGTTACAAAGGGAGGGGCCCTCATAAATAGTCACCAACAGTCAGGCTGACTCTAAGTAGGTCATTGCTGGCTCTTTGTACAGAAGGAATCCTATTGCTAGCATATTCCACCCCTCCAAATTTAAATTGATTGCATGGTCAGCTTGGCTGGGGATTCTATGCAATTCTTTTGGCCATGAACTAAGTGAAATGGTAGAGCTTTTGAACCAGAAATATGCTCATTTTTAAAATTTATTTTATTTTATTTTTTCTTTATTGATTTTAGAGAGAGGGGAAGGAAAAGGGAGAGATAGAAACATTGATGAGAGAGAACATCGACTGGCCGCCTCCTGCATGCCCCCACTGGGGATTTGGACCACAACTTGGGCATGTGCCCTGACCAGGAATCGAACCAAAGACCTTCTGGTGCACGAGTGAACCCTCAACCACTGAGCCACAACAGCTGGGCAGAAAGATGCTTATTTTAAGTTAAGGAGACTGAAACTTGGAGCAATGGGTCACAGCTAATCCAGGCTGAGCCAGAGGTGGAAACCCATCTGCAGGCTCCCAGTCCTGGACTTTCTCCACAGACAAGGAGCCACTGAAGGATCTCTGTATACTCTAACAATGTGAGACTAACCCTCACCAACAATATGATTTCTGATACCTGGGATGAGGAAGGAAAAAGAAAAACACATTTCAGGTAGAGAACTGCTCATTTTCTAAACCTCCTGTATAAACAAATTCAACATTCAAAGTAGGAGTCACCTAAGAGCAGGGCTACAGAGAGAAGCCCTTTGAGAGTAAAAAAAAAAAGCACACTTTTATACTTTAATAAAGCAAGTACACAGGCTGGTGCATTGGAAGAAAATTAGTGATACAGAAAAGGGGGCAATAGGTAGCCCCCAATTATCCTACCAGAAGCCTGCATTAATTACATCACATTACAAATGGGAACACTTTGTGAATGAGTGAGGTCTCTCTCTCTCTCAAAAAATTTTCCTCTGAGTAGGAAAGTTTGAGAAAGCAGAAACACAATAAAGAGGTCCACAAAGAGGCAGAAAAAAATCTACCAACCTGGAGAAGGAGTCATCGTTCAAGTGGCATTGCTCATGTTGGGACAACAGTTGCCCGGTTCTCAAATGAAGGTGGAAGGTGGTCTGAACTTGGCCTTCTCAGGACTTGTGCAGGGCCCTTCCAGGGACGGGGGTGGGACAGGCACAGTGCAGTTTCTCAATGCACAGATTTCAGCACAGAGAAATGTCACTCACCCAGCATCAGCAGATTGAAGTGAGGAGGTAATCTTATAAATCCCAGTAGCTGTAGGATTATAAATTTGGAACTTTAGAAAGTACCAGATCCAATTGTCTCATTTCACAAATGGCAACTCTGAGCACAAGAGGGTAGGGGAGAGAGAGAGAGACAGAGACATAGAAGGAGAGAGAGGGCGCTTTCATTTCCATTGTACGCTGAGCAGCCACACCAGTGTGAAAGCACACTCCATGCCAATGTGCTCCCACCCTACAGTAGCATGGTAGAAAAAGCATTCAACCAGAGGTCATTATAAACCAAGAAAGGCCCCTTGGATGCTAAAGGAGAAACTCCAGAATGATTTTGAAAACCCTTGAACTAGCTGTACACACACACCCCACAGCTCAGTCTGCCCCACCCTGAAAGATGTCAGTGGACGTGCATGGATTAGGTTGACTGTGGACGACCTGGTGGAACCACATTTGGTGTTCTGTTCTGTTCATTGAGGAAGTGACTTGTTCAGGCGGCTCAAGGAAACATTGGTGCCAACAGTGTCTAAGGCAGATGCACGGCGAGAGTGCTTACTACAGGATGATCCTCGGCAGTTATTTAAATTCCTTAGACTTCAGTTTTCTCATCTACAGGTTGAGGAAACTAAAGCCTATTTCATAAAGTTGTTGGAAAGATTAAATAAATAATTGTAGGTAAATAGCAGAATAGTACTTGGCAAATGATTATTGGCCATTAAAATGTTAGCAGTTTTCATTAGAGTTCCTATGAATTCATACACACACACACACACACACAAGCAAGCACATAGCTATAACCATGAGCTTGGAGGTAGACACTCTCATGGGAGTAAAACCAATAACCTCTCAATCGATGAGCTAAGTATTTGATTCAGTCTGTTCAACATCAAGGGTATCAGCCAGCCAAGTCCGCGGAGCTTGCCATTGGGCTTTCATTGAATGTTACCGTGGTCGTAACATACAGTTCCCTGCCCGGGAAAGAACATCCGTCATGGATTCCACTCAGGGCACCCTGAGTCCTAGCTCTGCTTCACTCCGCCTTCTCTGTGAAGTCTTTCTCGATTCGTCCAACTAGAGTGCTGATTCTCCTACCCGCTTTCCCCTGATATTTAGCATCTGTGCCACTCACTTCATATTTAGTATTTATTGTGTTACATTGTTTAATTTTAGTTTTTGTGTGTGTGTGTGTGCCTATATTTTCCAGATAAGACTCTAAACCTTTGCGGACAGGACTGTTCATGTTTGTTACCATGGTACTCACTTTTGTATGACCAAAATGCAGAGCACCGTGCTTTGCATGTACGATATGTTCAATAAAGTCCTTTGATTACACAACCAAGGGTTTGATGATACTGGTTTTTCCAATTCCCAAATGACCTGGTACTTAACTAGCAACCTCAATGGAACTGACCTATTTCCACAGACGCTGCCTCCTTGATCTGCCTTACTGTAAAAGATGTCATAAAACTGCCTTTCCCTTATTCTTCTTTATTGTCAACATTTCCCCTGGCAATATTTAAATAAAGGTTAGCATTGCGTTTTGGGATCATGAAGACACCTGAAGAGAAGACACTAGAATAGGGATGTGTGGGACGATTTGGTGATGAGAAGGACAGTCCAAACTGGCTACCCTGTCTGAAGTCAGGTCATGTGACGATTCCTGCAAGGGAAGACTGTGTCTCTGGTCTGAGTTGCCCATGGCCATGGGCCCCAGGTAGAGGCTCAGTAAGAACTCCTTGGCCCAGTCACTAAAATAAAACACAAATCTCTTCGATGCTAACGTAGCGTTTCGATCAGAATTTTCTGGTCAATTTCCTAGCCACCGTTCCCAAGTCCAGCATCAGTGCAGGCCAACACGTGATAGCCCTTAAAACTCATCCGCAGCAGTGACAGAGCCTTGCGTTTGATGCCCCCTGTTCCAATTACACCAAGGCAGCAGAGGCAACACAGATCTCCTATGATCATCTGAGATAGAGGTGAGAAATTAAAGGACAAACAAGTGACTCATTTTAATGGATACGCTTCAGACAAGAGAAACCTGTAATTTCTCTTAGGCGTGCTGGACGGACCTATGTGGAGTGAATCACAGACTTACACAAGACTTGAAAGCACCGGCAGTATTACAAGTCTCACGTTGGCCT